GCCCCAGCCCTCCGCGCCTTTGCCCGGCCCGCCCGCTCCCGCCCGAGTCCTTGAACTCACCCAGATGTCGGGAGCGTCACGGGACCGACGGCGACAGGTAGCGGCCGCGGCGGGCGGGGTCCCCCCCCAGGGGTCCCGAAGGCTGAGCGCCGGGGCCGGAGCGAGCGCGCCGCAGGTCCGCGGGCAGCTTTTCTCCGAGGTTGGAGCGAGAGCTGGAGCGTCACGATAAGTTTTAAGACAAGGAGGTCGGAGGGAAGACCCCGGCCTACTCTAGAGGTGCTTCGCACAACTCGATCGGTGCACAGCAGTTGTTTCGCGTGTTGATTCATTTGCCCTACTCGGACCGAGTGGGATGAGTCATAAATAAGGCAATGCTGCTTTTACAGAGACGGCTTCAGTAATGTCAGCGAAGAAGTGTGTTTGATGTGGGTAAGGAGAATAACAGAGGGAACTGCTAGATTCTCTTAATAGAGCGTCCTGGATTCACCTGGATTGAAAAGGGAGTGTCAGGTGGCCGGAGGAATTCAGGTATTCCGCAGGGACACTTCCTGTGGGTTAGCCGAGAGGGAGACACACTGGGTGAGTAGAAATAATTCAGAACGCAAGACTAGCTGGGGAAGGAGCTTGCCAATCAGAAGAAAGGCATTCGCAAGGTACAAACTTCCAAGGCAGGTTGATGCATTAAGAAAATGTATAAAACTAAAAACCTCAAGAGCAAGAGAAGTTACCTATTGCAGGAATGTTTGCAACAGATAACTTTTGACCCTTGTTTTGTTGTAAGAATTTTTGTTTTGGTTGGATGTGATGGTACACACCTGGAGTCCCAGCACTTGGGGGCCTGAGGCCGGAGGATGGATGTAAATTCGAGGCCAGCCTAGGGAACATAGCGGGTTCAAAGCCAATCGGAACTACTGAAAAAAATTTTTTTTGCTTGTTTGTTTTATGTTTCTGTTTTTTTGAGACAGGGTCACTATGTACTTCAGGCTGGCCTTGAACTCATTATGTAGCTCATGCTGGCATCAAACTAGAGGTGATCCTCCTGCCTCAGCCTCCTGAGTGCTGGAATTACGGGCACAAAGCACCATGCCTGGTTCAAAGAACTTGTTTTTAACTTTTCACCTTATTTATAAAATAGTTAACTTAGAATAGCTATTACAATATCTAGGCTTTGGCAGTACATATACTAAAATATCTAGATACAACTTTATTTGCTCATAATTAAGGTTTTGCTGTGTTAAGATCCAAAAAGAAAGCAGAAGGGGCTGGGGATTTAGCTCAGCGACACAGCGCCTGCCTGGCAAGAGCAAGGTCTTGAGTTCAATTCCCGGTACTGAGAAAAACAAACAAACAAACAAACAAAAAAGAAAGCAGAAGTCCTCATATATAATACCTCAAAGAATGTCATTGCTTTTATTAGTATTAAATTTGTGGACCATCAAGGAAATAGGTATGGAAGGAGAATTAGGCATAGGTCCAGTTTTGAAGTTTTTAAATAAGTTCTTTTTTTTTTTATTTTAAAGAATAAAACAAGGATAACATAATAATAGGGGGGACTTAGCAAATTACAGACAAAATGGTAGGAAATTATCAATGGTTATCTTAAATAAGTTCTTTAAAAACAAGTCTTTTTGAACTTAAGTGGAAGATAATGCTTTCTCTATTGAACTTTTAGAGAAAAAAAGTTCTTGCTCTGTAATTCAGGGCGGCCTTGAACTCGTGACAGTCCTCCTGCCTCCACCTCTCGAATGCTGGGATGACAGGCTTGTGCCACCATGTCCTGCTAAGAAAAATGCATGGAAGATATGTATTTTCTTTTTTAGTCAGGGTATAGTTTGGGCTGGACTTCAGCTCACCAGCCCAGGCAGGCCTGGAACTCATGGTGATCTGCCCTAGCCTCCTGAGTGCTGGGATGACAGGCATGCAGCACCATACTCAGAAGGTAATATAACATGCTTTCTGAAACCAAATGTAAACCTGAATAGCCTTGGTTTGTGCAGGCTGAGTTACGAATGCCATTTGTATTTGTGGTTTTGTGAAACTGGATTCACAGAATTTAGGATCTTGGCAGTTCATTGTTTATTACTCAACTTCATGTTGATTGTATTGACATTGTTTAATTGTGGATATTCTCATCTGTGGACATCTGTTTAAGGTAACTGATTCCTGAGGTGGTCGGATTCTAATGTGAATATTCATATAAGCAAGGACTTCTTTGAATAAAACTAAAGAGCTAAACAATTAGATAAGAACGTCTTTAAACGTATGAGCCGTTGATTTAAGTGTACGTGTGGAATGGGTATTTTCTTTAATTTGTTTTTGTTTAGATTTGACTTCTTGGATTTTTTTTTTTTCTTTTTTGGTCTTTTTGAGACAGGGTCTCACTATGCAATTCAGGCTGGCCTCAAGCTCACTTTGTACTCAGGCTGGTCTCGAATTTGCAAGGATCCTCCTGCCTCAGACTCCCGAGTGCTGGGATTACAGTTATGCATCACCATGCCCGGCTTTTGTTGTTGTTGTTGTTTTAAATTTTTTGACTTCTTGAACGTTTAACCTTGAGTTCCTCTAATTACTTCCCTATAAGGGGCTTTTTTTTGAGACAGGGTCTTGCTGTGTAGTTCAGGATGGCCTTCAACTCAAAGTTATCCTCCTGCCCAGTTTTCTGAGTACTAAGATTACAGGTGTGTGCTTCCATGCCTAATTTATAATGGTTTTTTAAAAATTCCAGATTGGTGTCCTGTTAATCTGATTTAATCCTCTATCCTGTTTTTCCATGTTTATGTTGCTGTCATCCTTAATTGTGCTAATCACATTCATTCTTCCAAACTCAAAATGAGATCAAGGAAAGGTAATCTTTTGAGTACAATTCTTTCTTTCTTTTTTCTTCTGAAAGGTATGGAGAGTAGTTTTACAAAAAACTCAAATTCTGGAAAGCTGAGGCTCAAGGGTTGCAAGTCTGAGCCCAGCCTGGATGACTTAGCAAGACCTTGTCTCAAAAAATAGAAAGGGCTGGAAATGTAGCCTAGTGCAAAAGTGCTGGCTTCAACCCCCAGCACCACAACAAAAGAAAAACAAACCGAAAAAAAACTCAATGGGGAGGACAGTGTTTCTGTGGTAGCCGGGCGAGGTGGCCCATGCCTGGTATCTCAGTACTTCGGAGATTGGAGCAGGAGGGTCATGCTGAATTTAAGGCCAGCCTGGGCTACACCACGAGACCCTCTCTCAAAAAGAAAGAAGGAGAAAGAAGGGAAGAAATTCTGCTCTATAGTGTACACTATAGTAAAATTCTTAACAATTGGATCGTCTTCCTAAAAACATTGCATTTTAAAGGTCAATATATATTTTAGGATGTAGCGTTTCTTCCTTTGTTGGCTATTTGGCCATTAAAAGGCAAGTTCTCTACATATTATATTTTGTCTGAAGCAGCAGTTTCAGTAAGAAATCTTTTCACATTCAAATGATTCTGTCTTGTGTCTAAATGGGGGAAGAGTTTGCTTATTTATCTCAGGCATTTTCTTCCCGATTGCTTTAAGTTCTTCAGGTGAGTTTCACCTTACTGAGGTTTAGACTACAGAAAATGTTCTTTTCTATCAGTGGCGCTAAGATTTGAGGCCCTTTTTATCACAAAGGTATGTAGGGTGAGCCGCTCTTGATTAACTGCCAGTGACTCCACGACATTGTGTCAAGACCAGGTAGTTGGCTGCAGAGATAAAATCATATTCCTTGTTCTGAGACAGGGTTTTGCTATGCAGCTTGGGCTGCCCTTGAACTTGGGGTGATCGTCAGCCTCCAGCTTTGATGGTTGGCAAAATTTTAGGAGAAATCCGCCCTCTGACTCAGCAGGCCTTGACCTTTGAACCTTGGTCACATATGCATCAGAGTCACCTGGGAGCAAAGAAAGAAAATCTGCTCAGGCTGCCTCCCAGACCAGCAAAGCCAGGCACTCCAGGCCCGGGCATGGGAATGTTGAGGCTGCGCTGTGTCCGGGTCAGCCCAGGTGGAGAAGCGCGTCATGGGGCAGGTCGGGCCCGGCTTCCTTAGCCAGAGGTGGCGATAGCAGCTGCTGGGGTGCAGGACAGAGCTGCCGGTGAGGTACTGGGGAGTACAGGGCACTGAAGAAGCCCCTGTTGTTTTAGCAGTGCCAGGACCTGGGGCAGAGTGGGGAAGTGGACACGACCTGGTGCAAACAAGCCAGCGGGGGAAGGCGGGTCCTCCCGGGACGCCGGCCCCTGCCCCGGGCTCCGTGGCCGAGTGTCCGGCAGAGCTGCGGGTGCGTCTCAGAAGGGCCTCACAGAGATTCCCCTTCAGCTCGCTGCTCAGGGAGTCTTCTTCGGGGCGCTGGCTTCTTAGGGCACGTTCCGTGCGAACTTGGAGTCTCAGGTCTTCCTGAGGTGCAGCCTCCATCCGCGGGCGGGGTTTCTTCGTGCTCCTCGTAGTCGTTGCTGGTGGCAGTAACTGGGTCTGTGCTGTGTGACATCTGGGGTTCGAGCAGCAGTTTTGGCTGCGACGCTTTGGTAGTCTGTGGGATTTTTTTGTTTCATTTTTAAATTTTTTTTTGAGATGGTTGAGTAGACTGTTGTTATTTTCCTTCTAGGGGTGCAGAGGAAATTCCTGCCTTCTTATAGAAATAGGAGGAAGGGGATACGATTGCTCCCTACAGTAAAGACAAATATGAGAGGCTCCACCCGTTTTCCCCAAATAAGCTCTTCTATCCCCTTCCCTAGAGCGGTGTTTCCAGCCTAAACAGTTTTCACTGGTATACTTATTAACATGGTTTGAAAATTTCATGTGTCCTTAATTCATAAAACTGTCTCAGGTAGGAAGGGTAAAATGTGTGACTTTTTCAAGTGATTTTTTTTTTTTTTTTCTTTTTTAGTTCAGGCTGGCCTTGAACTCATGGTGATTGATCCTCCTGTCTCAGCCTCCCGAGTGCCAAGCATGTGAGAGGGGGAGTGGTGCTTCCTTTGTGTTTTGTTTTTTTGTTTTCCTTTTTGTTTTGGTTTTTTGAGACAGGGTCTCACTATGCAGTTCAGGTTGCCCTTGAGCTCACCATGTAGTCACCCAGGCTGGTCTTGACTCCAACGATCTTCCTGCCTCAGCCTCCCCAGTGCTGGGATTATGGGTATGCACCACCATTTCCAGCTGTTTTTGAGACAGAGCCGTGCTGACTCACTAAATTGTCCAGGTTGGGTTTGAACTTGTGATCCACCTGCCTCAGCTTCCCAGAGAGCTGAGGTTATAAGCATGCACCTATAACCTGAGTCTGGCTGTACAGATGTTCTTAAAAGAACAATCACTCTATTGGTAATTAAGCATTTTCATGCTTTTGTTTACAGTGTAGCCTTAGAGTCTGAGGTACGAACTATTCATTATACCTGACTTTAAAGGGCAGCACTATTTTTTGACAATTATAGAGTATGAAGCCATATAATACTTAAATCCATGACCCTGGTCTTAGGCTGGTGTGAGCTTTGTATTGTGGTTTTCTTAGTGCTGTGCCTTCTCCTTTCCCTATACTTAATTTAAATTAGCACGTCTGAGTAGCAGAAAGAATGACATTATCTTTAGTAGCATTCCAAGTTGCGCTTTGAAATGTGTGTGTGTGTGTATGTGTGTGTTTAAAGAGTTTTTTGCACAGTTAATGTCTGATAAAAAATAAACTGTTATTACTTGCTGCTATTTTAACTAATATTCCTTGTCATATTATCTAGAGTCTAGACTATGCTTAGGAGTTCAGATGGGGTAAAAATCTGTTGGCTGACCCTGTTGCCTTTACGCTTAAAACGTGGGAATTGCGGGTAGCCCTCACTCAGAGACGTCATGTCTACTTCTAAGAACCTTCGCTGTGGCACGTCCGAGACCCCAGGAGAAAAGGAGATGGGGTGCCCGCCGCAGGGCAGTGGAGGGACAGCCACGGTGGCTCACGCAAGGACAGCCCCCCAAGCCAGCGTGCAGCAGGTGTGGGCCTCCACTTCGGCTCCTCGGGAAGGCTGCCACGCCGCTGTACATTCTCTTTATATTCTCTCTTCTGCATGACTGAGTCTTTACTTTCAAGTGATGAGCGGTATGCCAGATACTAACATATAACAAGTTCTTAGTCCCGGCATCGATCAGTTTTTTTTGTTTGTCTTGAGACAGGGTTTTACTGTGTAGTCGATTAGATTGTAAACTCGAGATCCTCCTGTCTCAGTCTTCCAAGTGCTGGGATTACAGGCATGCGCCACCACGCCTGGCTCCTGTAGTATTTTCAGTTTGGGAAGACAGAGTGCTATTTTAAATACTTTCCATAATGTCAAATCAGTGTATTTTAAAAAGAATTTGGAAAGTACAGAAAAGCTCAAGAAAATCACACAAGATACATTAAAAGCTAGGGGAGGGAGACTCAGTTGGCATTTCGATGTCTTCTGATGTGTTTCTCCTTTTTGTGGTGCTGGAGATTGAACCTGGGGCCTCTCAAATGCTGGGCAGGTGCCACCCGAGCCCCACGCCTGGCCCTTTGTAGTTTTTCAATAATGAAAGTATTTATGCCATAGTATATTATACTTAGCTACAAATGAGGACAGAGGATGAATGAAAGGAATATGAATCTGTGGTTTTTTTTGGTTTTTCTCTGGTACCGGGAACCGAACTCACGACCTTGCGCTTGCCAGGCAGGCGCTTTGCCGCTGAGCTAAATCCCCAGCCCCTGAATCTGTGCTTTTAAGTGATAGGTGGGAAAGTCAGCCTCAGCCTGGAGCTTGCTGGTGTCGAATCCAGTAGCCACCAGCTGAGGCTGCTGGAGAAGATAGCAGGCACGGAGAACTCCCTCCCGGATGCCAGCATTGGGAACTTCAGATAAAAATGAATGATTCTCTAAGTATGAATATATTTCTGGTATTACACAAGATAGTTTTTTCCTTCAGAATTTGGACCATGTCGTATCTTCTGTTTAACGAGGCATCACGAGCATCTGCAATACCAGGTATTTGTTTGAAATACCAGAAATTTATCTTTACAAACAGCTTGAACTGTTGGTCCCTAAAGCAGTTCAGGCTCTTACCAAAAATGCTTGAAACTAGAAGCGTCGCAGCTTTGGGAGTTGTCAGCTTTGAAGTATTTGCACAGACTTGGTCTGTTGCGTGTCTAAATTTGAAATCCAAAACTTGAAATGCTCCACAATCTGCAGCTTTTTGAATGCCCCGTCCGTGATTGCGGGTTTTGGGTAGAGATGCTCACCCCGCAGCCAGAGTTGTTGAGGGTCAAGTCACCTCCAGCTTCAAGCAGACCCAGGTTCCCTGCTTGACACGCTGGCGCTTTGTTTCTTTGCAGGCGGGCGCCACGTCCATGTGGGCTTCGTGCTGCGGGCTGCTGAATGAAGTCATGGGCACCGGAGCCGTCAGGGGCCAGCAGGCAGGGTTCCCGGGAGGCGCCGGGCCGTTCTCGTTCACAGCAAGCTCAGACTTTTCTGCGTACCCACCAGCACCCACAGAAGGGCCTAATATAGTCTGCAAAGCCTGTGGCCTCTCATTTTCAGTCTTTAGAAAGAAGGTGAGTTGGGTGAAACGTTACCTACCGAAGATAGGAGTGAGAGTTCTTGACAGGAGGCTATTTTGAGGAAGCAGTGGATCCTCCTTTGGTTTGGTTTGGTTTGATTTTGTTGAGAGAGGGCGCACTGTGTTGTTCAGGCAGACCCTGACATGCAGTGATCTTCCTGCCTCAGCCTCCTGGGCGCTGGGATCACAGGCGTGTGGCACCATGCCCAGCCTCTTTTTTTAAATAAGGAAAGTGTTCACAGAGGGACAGGCCAGGAGGAAAGACTGCAGTTGTGCTTTCCGCTTACTCCATATGGCTCAAGTCAGCTCTGTTCTAGTAATTACATGTTTGCGGCGAGGGGCGGAAAGGCTTTAATTCATTAACACGGGGTGTGTGTTTTTCCAAAGGGCTGCATTTGAACTGTGAATCTCAACTGCCACGCAGCGACTCTAGTGCTTTCTATGCCTTTGGGAACACTCACATGTCGGTACAAATAGGTTGCTATCGTGGGAGTAGGCAAGAGCCAAAATTTAAATTTTAGTAGAAGGCAGGAAGAAAACGTGCTTTCATCCTGGCCTCTGTTTTCTATGATGACATGCTTTCTTTCTGCAGCATGTGTGCTGTGACTGCAAGAAGGATTTCTGCTCCGTGTGCTCGGTCTTCCAAGAAAACCTCCGCCGCTGCTCCACCTGCCACCTGCTCCAGGAGACGGCCTTTCAGCGGCCGCAGCTGATGCGCCTGAAGGTGAAGGACCTGCGGCAGTACCTCACGCTGCGGAACATCCCCACCGACACCTGCCGCGAGAAGGCGGACCTGGTGGACCTGGTGCTGTGCCATCACGGACTGGGCTCTGAGGACGACCTGGACACCAGCAGCCTGCACTCTTCCCGCTCCCGGGCATCCAGCTTTTTTACAGAGTCCCTGTTTGCCCGCTACACAGCCTCCTCAGCCGCCGAGGCCTCCTTCCCGGGGGAGCTCGCAGGCCGGGGCTGCGCCTCCGGGCCCGGAACCCTGGCGCAGGTAGGAGGGCCTGACTGGTGGGTAGGGCCTCGCGCTTGGTGATGGCTGGGGTGGCAAGTCCCATGGGAGCCGAGGCGCCTCTCGGGCTGGTCCCGGCCAGCAGGCGCTCCTGGCATGTGGTGTCAAAGCGCAAGGTCCAAAGGGTCCAAAAGCAGCTCCTTGGCTTCTTGGTGACCATTTTCCCGGCTGCAGCATTAAAAAGTCACCATGGAAGCGGTGGCGCAGATAGCACATAAACACTGGTGTCTCAGTGGCTGCAGCCCGGCAGTGTAAGTGCCCGAGCCCCACGCCTGGCGGAGGGCACGGTTCCAGTGCGGGCAGGGAAAGCTGCCGGGCAGGGGCGGCGCAGCTGTTTACCAGCTGGACACTGTGCTTGGGAGGTCCTGGCGTGTCCTCCTGCAGGACACGAGAGCACTGGTGACGCATGCTGTTACGTGGGCCTGGCTCTGAAACACCACAGCGTCGCGTGCGTGCGAGCTCGGGCGGCGAGGCAGGAGGGTTGTGAGTGTGAGGCCAGCCTGGACACCACAGCGAGAGCTCATCTCCAAAAACTTGTATCTTTTTCAGTGTTGTTTTAGTATAAATGAATTGTTCTGAACAGTTTTCTCCCTGGAAGAAAGAGGTTATTAAAAGCAGAGAAGAACTTGGTCTAGCTGCCTTCCAAATACTCCTGAGTTAGAAAAGCCCAAGCCAGGAATTTTATTTGTTCACATGAGAACTGGCCTAATTCTGATACAGACCTGAGACACACGTGACTTCAGACCGCTCCTGGGTAGATGGCGCAGTTCAGAGGCGTGGGTGGTTGGATGATACAGCTTGGTGCTTATGAATCAGAAGAGTGCAGTGTTTGAAATTGGAAACTGACCCAGACGATTGTAGAGCTGTAGTCAAAATAAAACCTGTAAAACGTATATAATCCAAATGGAAGAGACTTCGGTTTCTCCTGAAAGAAAGAGTGTTTCTGTTGCCGTTTCTTTTTTGGAGACAGAGTCTCACTTGCTATGTAGTCCAGGCTGGCCTTGAGAACCTGTGGTAATCTTCCTGCCTCAGCCTCCCCAGTGCTAGGGTTACAGGCGTGTGCTGCCATACTCAGCTTGTTTAGAGGAAGATTGAGATTTAGAACCAGCGTGGCCACCAGTGAGGAAGCCTTCGGAGTGAGTGGTCCGTTAGTCGGATCAGATGCCCCTCACACTTGCACACAGCGCAGGCAGAGTTAGCTCTTTCTTGCCCTTCTTCGAGGCTCCAGTTAGGCCAGCCACCTGCAGCTCCTCTGATGCCAACACACGGCCTTCCTTGGGCGTCAGGTGACTCGGGAGCAGGCACTCACCAAGGGCCCGCTCTTGGCAGGAGCAGCAGCTCTCGGATCCAAAGGTGCAGCACGGGCCAGGCGCTTGGGTCGTTCTCCAGAAGACGGGCTAGAGCTCTGCCCTCGAGAGCTGGGGCTGCTGGGTCAGGGAAAGGGGACCCCTCACATCACCGTGCACATGGTGTCCGCAGGCACACAGTGAAGCGGCTTCCGCAGACATGGAGGATGACGAGGAGGAGGAGGAGGAGGATGAGGAGGAGGAGGATGAGGATGATGATGAAGAGAACTTGGAGGAGGAGGTGAGGCCCACAGAACCTGGTCCCCCTGGTCACCCAGGAGACACCTGCCGGCCTTCTCTGGTCAGCACAGGCTGCTGCTGTGGCTGGCCGGGGTGGGACTTGGGGCCCAACCAGTAGAGGTGACAGTGGCTACTCTGCTTGCAGACCCTTGGGCTCTCCAGGAAGCGGGGCAGAGCCTCCCTGTCCGACCTGTCCAGCCTGGAGGAGGTGGAGGGCATGAGCGTGCGCCAGCTCAAGGAGGTCCTGGCACGGAACTTCGTCAGCTACTCAGGCTGCTGCGAGAAGTGGGAGCTGGTGGAGAAGGTCAGCCGGCTGTACAAGGAGAACGAGGAGAACCAGAAGTCATGTAGGTGCACCTGCGCTGGAGCTTTGCCGCCCCAGCCAGACAGATTGCTTTTTGGGACAGCCGCGTAACTTTTCCGTGAGAACAAACCCTGTTTACAAACTGGAACAGGTTTGTTCTGCACCTGCCAGATGAGCTGGGCGACCCTTGTCTAGCCTGGTTTTCGTACCATCCCTGACTGCCTTGGGAGGTAGCTTGTCATCTCAGTCACAGCTTACTCTTTTTGGGGGGGGCGGGTATTGGGAATCAAACTGAGGACCTTGCGCTTGCCAGGCAGGCACTTGTGCCACTGAGCTATATTCCCAGCCCAGTCACAACTTAAAAGCTCACTGGGCAAAATGCACCACAGATGGTAAGGCTCAGCCCATGGCCTCGCATATGACCAGGTTGCTAAGTAAGCTTCAGAGCTCAGGTTGAAAACCTCTGACTATTTTAAGTGTGGCCTGGAATCCTCCCTCATCACATGGCCAAGGGACAGAGCCTCTGTGGGCATTCAGTGGTGTTCAGACTGAGAAAGCTGATGTTCTTATCTAGATTTAGAGATCCTCAAGGGGTGTGTGGTGCAAACCTGTAATCTCAGCACTCAGGAGGCTGAGGCAGGAGGATCGCTGTGAGTTTAGCACCAGCCTGGACTACACGGCAAGACTGTCAAAGCAAAATGAAAAAAATCCTCTCATCAACTGTTACCTTGAATTTTTTTCTTTAAAGCCAGTTAGTAACAAGTTTATGGCTAGAATAGGCAAGGTAGTTTGGCACACCTACCTTCTGGAATGCTGCTGTAGCAAGGGTGCAGGAGTCCTGGGGGGAGCACCCTGGCAGCAAGGGCGCTATGGTTCATGTGCCGCAGTGCCCATCCGCAAGGTTTCTGTGTAGGGGTTACACACAGGTGGTTTCGTGTGTCGCTGCTCACTCTCAGCCTGGTCTGTCTCTGGTTTGGAGGAAGCGTGTTGTTCAGAATCTCCTTGTGGGTGTGGCCTCGGCTGCTATGCCAGGGGTTCCCCCACGGCGCCCCTGACTCCGCAGGCTGTCTGCTCAACACCCATCAGATGCAGAGGTGGAGGGAACTCCATCAAGGTGCATCTCCTGCTTGTGAGATCTGTCTTCCAGTGTCTGGCCGTCCTGACAGCAGGCTGGCTGGCCCTTCTGGCTGCAGTTCTCGTGTGCTCTTTGCACCCAGGGTCAGGGTCGCTGCCGGTCCCCTCAGGACGTGCGTGCATGGGGTCCGCAGCCATCGCACCCTGAATGCGCCTGACCTCTTCTGAGCGCAGACAGGCCTTGGTCCCTAGGTCAGGGCCAGATCTCGGCGGAGGTGGCCTTTCTACTTGTCGCCTTGCAACCCAGAGCCCGGCACCCTCAGCGCTGATGCCAGGGCACCGTGGGGAAGGGGCGAGGCGATGCTTGCTTCTCGTACTGCTGGGCGACCCTGCGTGACATGGCCTGGTCATTCCTCACCTGCTCAGCGCAGAAGGTGAAGCACCTCCTCGAGAGGCCTGCGCCCAGGCTTGCGTGCTGAAGGCCAGCCCAGGGCTTCAGTTTATTCTGGGTACCGAATTAGCACAGCCTCACACGGGCACCGGAAATGACGGCGAGGTGTGTAAGTGGAAGTAGCTCACGTTGCTTGCTCAGGTGCTTCCTAGCCGTCCCTCGGCAAGCCTTGCTCCGTCAGGAGTGTGAGGGGTGACGCCTCCCCCGGGCTCTCGGTGGGCAACCCCAGCTCTCCTTTGCCTTCCAGACGGCGAGCGGCTGCAGCTGCAGGACGAGGAGGACGACAGCCTGTGCCGCATCTGCATGGATGCCGTCATCGACTGTGTCCTGCTCGAGTGTGGACACATGGTCACCTGCACCAAGTGCGGCAAGCGCATGAGCGAGTGTCCCATCTGCCGGCAGTACGTGGTGCGAGCCGTGCACGTGTTCAAGTCCTGAGGCCGCGCTGCCCAGCTGGATCCCAGACATTTCGATGCACAGAGCGACTGGAAACTTACTGTTGAAAGGCAGAAGCTATTTTTTAAAATTATTTTCACTACTAATGGGGACGGACAGGTTCATCTAAGTTGAAGACACGCTGGTCCATGCCATCAACCTGTAGCCCGAATTCTACGGGGCTTGTCACTTGTTCCCGGGAGCAGTGACTGCCGAAGTCGGACTGGCGACAGCGTGGGGCGTCCTGGCATCTGACCCTTCTGCGTGGACACGTCTGTTGACACCGGGTGGGGCGAGCTCACTGTCACAGCAGCCGATGGGGCACGCAGCACACGGTGGACCTCTGACATTCCCTTTGTCAGTTACGTGTATTTTAAATGCGAACACCTGATGAATGTAATCAAGTTTCCACATCGTTGCTGTTTCTGCATTTCAGCCTAATCAGGAACGGACGTTCTGTAGTCAACTGCCAGGGCCTTAGACTAACATGTCCATTTCTGTTCAGGTACAGCTTTTTATAGCAAGGGCTGCCTCTACTCTAGCTTCTTACGTTACAAGAGTGTGTGCTGTGTTATTAATGTATGATTAGTTTACACTGTTCTGTGGGGTGAAGGTGTATTTTTCGTGCTACCTGCTAGCTAATTTCAACTTTAGAAATAAAGTCCGATGTAAAAAATGCTTTACCTCACGTCTTCCTCACGTCCGCCCTGGCCTGGGGCTTCTTCAGAGATTCCGTCTCCAGCAATGTGTAAGGTCAGCTGCTGACACTGTATTCTGTGATCTGGGATTGTCTTGCAGGGTGGGGATCGCAGTACTGGGGACTGAAACCAGGGCCTTCACACTGAGCTGTAATCCCCCATTTGGTTTTTAAAATACTGAGACAGACTGTAAGTACCTATATTGCTCAGGTTGGGCTCAAACTTGAGATCCTCCTGCCTCAGCTGCCCAGAGAGAGTGCTGAGGGTTACAACCCTGTACCACCAGGCCTGAGTCATCCAGTGTTATGCTAGGCTCTGAACAGTTTTCTGCAGAGGGCTGCATGGGGAAGCCAGCCACTGGGAAGTCCCAGGACCTGTCTAAAACCACCTTTAAAAAGTGGCTGCAGCTGCACCAGGGCTGGGTGGTGCAGACGTGCAGCATGCATAAAGCTGTGGGTCCTGCCCCCTCCGGAGTGAGCACGTCACCAGACCCTCGCTTCAGTGTGTTTTTCCAGCCCTTCGAATATGTGGTGTTAGCTCATACAGAAAGGTTCTGGCTCTCTGTAGGTCCAGCTTGGGTCAGAGTGGCTTTTAGTTGAGCCCAAATGGATTCAGCCCACTGGCAGTGGGCAGACTTAGGAAATGGCTAACCTGCTCTCGGGCAAGTCACCAGCTGTCTTCTGACTGCAGAAAGGAGTTTTACCAACATAATGCTCTAACAGGTTTTGCATATATTTACCTGAACATCACTGGGGGTAAAATACACCACTCTTCCATTCTAGAAACACGTACTCTACCATAAACGGAAGGTGGGCGCGACTCCGCAGCTGAGCCTTGGGAAAGCCAAAACCCATCTGTGCATTCACCCACTTGGCGGGCGAACAGCAAGGTATGTCAGGAGAGCCAAAGCAGCAGTAGGTGAGTTTTACCCATGAAATGCACACTGCTAAATTTCTGGGCATTTATGATGTGTTTAAAAAAGTTTTCTTTTGATTTTTTTTGGTAGAAGTAGCCCATTTCAGTACAATGGTACACAGATTTGCAAATTTTGGAGGTCCAAAGCGAAGCCTCAGATCATTCACACGTGAATGATGAACATAGTCACTTTCACCAGGCAAGCCACAGTTCCTCTGACAGTGCAATGGAGCAAGAAGCAAGTGATGCAGACACGGGATGGAGGTCTCCTCGATTCACATGACGAAACAGCAATGTGAGTACGTATCTGTCCCGTACAAATGGTACAAAGTGGTCATGCGGCCAAATGGAATAATCCAATGTTAGAACTATGTCTCAAAGTATAGTGAGGGTCTGGGCAGGGGTGAAACCTATTGGACTTTGAGCCAGCACTGCCATTCAGTGCTGGAAACTAACAGGCCAAATGCTAGATGTTGTGGAATACACAAATGCTGGGATACAAGTAAAATGTTCTGTACGCGCCACTATACTCAAAACTGTATTATGACACCTCATTAACTGAACTGAAAGCATCCATAGGTCCACTGTGCTTAGCAGGGCTTTCTCTTGTTAATCACAGGAATGTAAAAGACTTACAGAAAAGTGACGGATAGGGGTTTGAGGTTTGTAGAATAATCTGAGAAGTCTAGAAGCTTAACTAAATTGGGTCAGCAATTCTATACCCTAGGGTGGCTCACTGCCTGGATGATATAAATGGAAATGAAGGACGACACGCAGGTTTCTGTTCCTTGGAGAAGCTCCAGTCTTTGCCTTCAGCTTGGATGTTATGCTTCTAGTGCCGACTCTCTGGCTTCCGCCTTGGACCCTTCAGCCTTCTGTCACAGACCCATCATCAGCGTCCTGATACAGACTTGCAAGGGGCACTGAAGTGAACTCCAGACCTCGGACTGAATCCTTTGGCCTCCGGTGTGCAGACACCCTCTGCACGCTTCCTGATCCAACTCTATGGCTGATCATTGTAAGCCAACCTTGTAATTTCTTATACATTTATATGTCTTGTATCTGTTTCTCTAGTAAAACCCTGAGTGATACAACCACATTTGAGATTTAGTTCCTTCAAAACTGACTGAGGTAGCCAGCGTGGTGGTACATGCCTGTAATCCCAGCACTGGGGAGGCTGAGACAGGATGATCACTGCAAGACCAGCCCAAACTGCACAGCAAGTTACTGTCTCAACAACAACAAAAAACCTGAGGTTTGATGATTAAAAACGTCTGCCAAGAAAGAAAAAGTTGATGATCTGGTTGCTATTTGCTTATGATTTGAGAGATCTGTGGGTAATTATGAAGCAATTTACATCTCAGTACATGACTATTGAACATCTTGCGGCATTGCATGGTTGCTGTAGCTTTAGGCAGTATATTCCCCCACACTTTCAAAATAGAGCGTAAAAATGTATGCCCTTGTAGATGAGAAGACTTTTTTTTTTTAACTTTTTTGAGACAGGGTCACATGCAGTTCAGGCTGGCCTTGAGCTCACTTTGTAGCCCAGGCTGGCCTCAAACTTGAACTCAGATCCTCTTGTCTCAGCCTCCTGAATGCTGGGATTACAGGCGTGCGCCACCACACCCAGCTATTTTTTCAGTTTAGACATTTACGCTGGAACTCAGCCATCAGGTCCTATTCGTACAGTAATGAACGGAGTGATGCTGTGCACAGACTTGCTGCTCCCACCTCCCAACTAATTTAGAGGGTGACGCTCACCGGCTTCCAAAGTTACATCTGCTAACAGCGCAAGACGAGCAGCGTAGGAACTGTACACAGGAACAAAGCAGAAATTTCAAATGAAATGCTGCAATTTTAAGACACAGAATTGTATAGTACAATCTCTGGATTTCAGAGGGATGTAACATTGGCTTCATGTATAGCAAAGAACAACACTGGTATTGCTGATGTCAACACTGCACCATGATGTAAATATTGATAGGGAAATCTTGACAGACTGGAAGCCTGAGATGGAAACTTTCAACAAAACCAAAGGCAGAGTAGATGTTGATGAGATATGCAAGTACGATGTCAGCTTAAACACAAAGCATCGGCCAGCTGTGTTTTACTCAATCCTAAATGTGAGGTAGAGTTTGATAGTTTAACGAACAAAGTAACAAGGGCAAAGTATCATGGAGAAGTTTTCTTACAACACTGGGATTAAGCTGGGCGTGGTGGTGCACACCTGTAATCTGAGCACTTGGGAGGCTGAGGCAAGAGGATGGCTTTGAGATCGACGCCAGCCTGGGCTATATGAGCGAGTTCAAAGCCAGCCTGCACTACATACCTAGACTGTTTCAAAAAAAAAAAAAAGATTAGAATATATCTCATAAGGGATATATTTACAGCAGAGGAAAAGGAAAATGTTTCTGTCGAGGGAACTATACACACAAAAAAATTGTGGAGCATACTAGCGAGCTGACAGGTGATGAGGCAGGCGAGGCATCAGGAAGACCTACTTTGACAACAGGAAAGCCCAAAAGATGTCAACCATGCCCCACAGGAAAACAAAACATACAAAACATTATCAGTGTAAGTGAAACTTGTGTGTGGAACGTGTTGTCATGTGAGAAGATTGCTTTGGGTGTGACAGTTGAAGCAAAAACCAAGTACACAGCTGATGTGCAAATGTTTATTCTATACTAAGAATTTAATACTTTA